TATGCATCGACCTAGCATTTTACAATTATATCACCTTAAGGTGAAACATGTTAAAGGGGCTCATGCCACCTAACGCCTATGTTAAAGGTGAGACTCAGGGAGCATCCTAAGCTACCTTAGATCATGTCTAGCATAAATCACATCCTTCATGCTATTCCAAACAATATAAGAGCATGTTATATACAGCAACAAGATATAGATTCTCAAGGTTATCAACTTGAAATCTAAAATACGAAAGCGACGAAAGTTGGTCATACCACCTAACGTTTATGTTAAAAGTGGGACTAAGGGATCATCTCAAATTACTCATGCAATTGAAATAAAGTACGAGATACAAGTATACATGCTCAAATACACTAAACCATATTAAAACATAATACATGACATATAAGCATACATCTCCAAGTATACTAAACCATATTAAGACAAGTCGTGCAATGTCTAAGCATATCTCCACAAGTATACATTTAATATGGAAATCTCATAAATCAAGTACACAACCACAAGTATACTAAGCAAAAATGATTGCGTATGTGACAAGTATACATGGCGCAAGTATACTAAATGCAATTTAAACTCATGGAACAAGTATACAAGTTCAAGTATACTAAATAGTATTCAATTGCCCAAATCCAGCATCAATTCTTAAGCTACAAGTAATCCATGATTAATCTCTTGAAATTAAATGCAAAAACAAATAATGGAAAGACTAGGACATGCGGTCGCTAGACCAAACAAGTATTTTCGGGTAATTACGACACACAAGGTACTACCTAGTGCGTACTTATGACTTAGAAGACTCTTATCTCTGTACTAGAGTCAAATCCTATCCATCACATAATTTATGTCCTTACAAGCTTTCCAAAACCAATAAGTTCGAAACTTATACAAAATCAAATGCAGGTTACCATATTCCATGCACAAGTAAGGTTGATTCCACACAAACCATGTCCTAGAATTCAAGTCTAAATAGCATATGACATGTCAAGTCTCCAATATGCAATTTATACACAAACCAAGAATATTTAATAACAATTAACCCACATTACCATCCTAAGCCACAAGTACTAAATAAGCTTCAATTTAGTAACAAGCTTTCAAGGTAAACAATTATAATATTCTAACAAGTTATATACCTACACAAAATATATTTAAACAAGTTATGCAAGTCAATGATATTTTATATCATGCTAAATCCAATTACCATTTTAAGAGGCCACAAGTACTAATTCTATATCTAATTTGTAATATGCTCACAAGGTAATTAATTTCACTACATTTCAAGAGATTTTCAACCTAACATGAAAAGTCTCTAGATTTCAAATCAATCCCTAATAACCTCAAATTAATATATGTTAAACAACATAGCATGCTCAATACATATATCAAATCAAAAGAGCAAAATAAGCAAGACATTATCATATAGATTTTAATTAATTTAAATTAATTAAATCTCTAATCTTTCAAAAGTTGTTCAAATGATCCCAAATAAATATATAACAAACACTAAGTCACGGACATGTCATATATCACGTAAAAAATGGAAAACAAGCATGGTACAATTAAATAGAATTTAAATCAAATTAAATTCATTTAAATCTCTAGATTTGAAAACTCATTCAAATGACTCCAATTAATTATATAACAAGGATCAAGTGAAGGACATGCCATATACAAAGTCAAAAGTGAATTATATGCAAGTTACAACAATCATTAATTTCTCAAATTAATATTAAAACATGCATATTACTTGTATTCCATTACAAAAGCAATTAAAATCACATAGAAAATAACCAATAACACCTACTACCTTACTAGAGAAGAGTCTATCTAGAATCCAAGGCAAATCAACACAAAATGGCAAACCCTTCAATGGTTATGTAGAGGAGGATAAGGGGAACAAAAAGCATTCCCAAGTTCAAGCTTGGAAATCAATGGATGGCACTCAAAAATTAAGGTCAATTCTTAAGGCTTTAAGCTTTATCCATAGAGGCTAGGGTTCTGATGTGAGGATAATGAAAATTGTGAGGGATATGGAATGTGAGTGGAGGATTTAGAAGTCCTCCACTTACTAGGTGAACTAACACCATGGTCAACACACACACACATATGCAAGACCACATTTGGAGCCTACATTTGTCACAAATCAATGGCTCCCTCCTAGGATTAATCTTAAGTTTACACTTGTCAACCATCTAAGCTAACAAGTGCACTAGTCCTATGCCAACAAGTGGATGAATCTCTACCCTCCACATGTCATCATCCAAAGCATCAAAGTGTCCCCACACAAATGTCAACTAGTGGACCAATGAGAGTGTGACAATTGTCACACTTTTTATAAATTACAAAAAGGTCCTTTTTGAAAATATCTTCCAAATTAAATTGCAAAATGGTCCTCAAGACCAAAAATAATTACTTTATTTAACTACACAAAAACCCCACAAGTTAAGAATATTACAAAAAAAAAAAAAAAAGTTTTGCATCTATACCCTTTACAAGAAAAGTAAACACTTAGCATGATTTTCTAAGAAAATAGAAATACACATGTCTAAGAAATCATCAATCATGAGTACATGCAAAAGTGGAAGCAAAACCAAACACGAAAAGTGATGTTGTGTTAACAAAGTGACAAACGAGAAAAGACAAAAAGCGATTAGTGTCGAAAAATGAAAAATGTGGAAATGACTCGATCCTTAAAGGAAGTTGTTAATCCAAATGAAAGAGAGTCAGAAACTATTTCTGAGCACCCAAGACGACACTAAGCGATGAGAAACTGAACTCAGACAAGAAATTTCAAAGAAAAAAATTCATCTGTGAAATTCTGAGGAAAAAGAAAAGGAAGGAAATGACCGGGTCATTAGTAGTGATGGTGATGATTTTGGAGATGTTCTGACCTCTACTATTCCGTTTGATGGATATGATGATATTTGATTATTTCTTTATCTCACTCATGCATTCATGCATCATGTTTTTTTTTTTTAAGTTGACATTATTTAAAAGACATATTTTTACTTAATGGTTGTTTCTCTTTATTTTCTTCTCTATAATTGCTTACTTTGTCAAAGGGGGTGAACAAGTGACAATTAATTCAGGAGGAGTTTTTCTAAATTGTTTTTATTAAACTTTCACTAGTAGTTTTGCTTGATCTATGTGCAAGACTCCAGGTAAAAATTTATCCAAGAGCAGAAAAGAATAGAGAATAAAAATAAAAAATAAAAAATAAAAAATTCCGTGTCCTTGACAAATTGTCATTTGTTGTTTTTTTGCTTGGGTAGATTATATTTATTTTTAAGGTTTTTTCATGAAATTCTCAAAGGGGGAGATTGTGATAAATAATTTTTGTAATTGGCTAATTTTGGTGTCAAAATAAGTCCGATCAAGTTGTAATTTTCAAGTAACGAAATCAAGATCAAGATCGGCTACAGAATTAGAAAGATTTTCAAGTTTGATAAACAAAGATCTACAAAAAATGTATTAACAACACTTTAGGAAGTTGTTTCCCATTTAGGACACTATACATTCAATGTATATTCTTTAAAGTTACCAAAACAGAATTTTTTCAAACTGTTTAACCTTCCCTTTCAATTATGTCAAGTGGGAACCCGTACCAAACTTCTTCTACCGGCTCAAGAACCTTAACTTCAAAGAAAGCCATCTATCTTTTGGGAACCGGTTCCAAAGTTGGCTACCGGTTCGACATGCTGATACAGTTTAGGTAATGGTTTCCTATTCTGTCTAAACTTCCTATTCGGTATAAACATCTTTCCAAAAGCCTTATGCACAAAATTTACCTTTTCCTATGCATATCTAAGTCTTTAAAAGTCTATATAAACCTTGATTTACATCTGGGTTGATACAGCTTTTTGCATTACAACTTTTGATTTATTAAAAGCCTATTTGAGAGATATTTTGCAGAAAAATCAAATCTGAATTTTCTATATTTATTTCTAGAACACACACATAAACACAAGAGTGATTTTAGGGCATTGCTCAAATCTTGATCGTGTTCAAAGTCTATTGAATATTGTATCTAACACGATCAGAGAAGCAGATTTATTTATTCTACATCAAAGTTGAGATCTTGAAGTAAAAGGTTGAAGCGATTACACTTTGAAAGAGTCAAAACATTTGAGAAGTGTTGTTTGATCTACCAGCAATCCTTCTACAAAGATCAAGAATAAGTCTGAAGTCAAGAGCTATTCGACGGGGACGTCGCAAAGTGAAAGGATTTTCAACAATTGGTGTTTGGTAGAACGATAGGGTATGAGACTGAGTCAAAGTCCATTGTACTTTGTTTCAAATATAATGGATCGGTTTACTCTGAACTGCACAGTCCACGAGATTTTCTCTCAACAATTAATCTATTCTACCAATTGGGGTTTTCTCGCTAAAAATCTTGATGTCATCTCTCAAACTCTATTTGTTTTACTTTACTTTTATTTTAAATGTGATTAGTTGATTAATTGCTAAATTAAGTAAAACTGATTAAAATAGAAAGACATTGATTTAAATATTTTCCTTAAAAATTTATATTTTTCACAAATATCTTCCCCTGCATAAACTCACAAGTAACTTAAGCAGTATTGTGCATTTTATGAAAGAATAAACTAGTACATTCCAAATGCTTGGAATTATGTTGCTGGATCTAAGGCACTTTTCTAGGAGAGATGCTTCAATGTCAAGAGTGCCATTGTAACTGGACTCTCAAGTGGCAATATAAAAATATACCCTCTTTTTCAACGACTAAAAAACTACTAAAAGAAACAGAGATTTACATTTGTTTCGTGACCATACATACAATGTATTCCTGCTACTATCAATTTCATTGTAAGCAATCATAAGAGTTTGGTATATTTTATTTACGTGTCATGCCTGACTGATTGACAAAACACTCTAACGTCTTGTATTCATTGATTCATTTTGTGAAAACCCAATATATATATATATATATATATATATATATATTTTCATAATTAGCAACTTGTCCGTATACAAGACGTTATTGATCAGAAATTTGCAACTTGTTAATAATATTCATAAAAAGGTATAATATGCATTTTCATGCATAATAATTGGACAATTTTTTTTTGTTTTTTTGTTTTTTTTCTTAATCCGAGGAGGAAAAAAGTGTCCTGGTAATGAACATTCATTATTATTTAATTTTTTATAATCTGAAATATCAATTCATAATCGACTGAGGTACTACATTATCCCCGACTATCCAATAATTCACAAAAACCTGAGACAGATGCAAGAAAAATAGAGAAGAAAAAGGGGAAAGTAGGCTTGAGACATTGGCAGACAAGGTTAATGAATTCATGAAGTGGAAGACAGGGAAAAGAAAGAAAAAAAAATGTTACATTGCAGATTACAAGGAAAAGTCACATGGGTAGTGCTGGTAACAAGGTCTGACTTGATCAAATGAAAATACAGTTCAATTTTACAAACAGGAATAATAATAATAATAATAATTAGCTACCATCCATAAAATATTGCTGCATAAAAAATAATAAAAAATAAAAAATTCTAATGGGTAATTTAGAAAGCAGAGAAACTGTGGTTAACCACTGTAAAGCCTCCATCAACAGCCAAGTTATGGCCACTGATGTAAGCCGAGTCATCAGAAGCAAGAAATAGAGCAGCCTCAGCAATGTGTCTAGCCTTGAGAGTAATGCCCTTCAAGTTGGACAGGGCACAACTATTAGCTTCAACTTCACTTGGTTCCAGATTGTAAGCTTTACATGAAAGTGGAGTAGCAATTCCAAATGGAGATATAGAGTTGACTCTAATACCATGAGCACCAAGCTCACAACAAGCTGATCTCACCAGTCCCACAAGTGCATGCTTTGATATGGTGTAAGCGTGTGGACCGGCTCCTCCAAGCAACGCTGCAACACTAGTGGTGCATATAATGGATCCGCGGATTTTTTTAGCCACCATAGCGCGTGCAGCATGCTTAATTGTGGCAGCAACTCCACGAACATTGGTAGCCATGGTGTTGTCAAACCCTTCAATGTCAAAATCTAGTATGCCACTTAAGGGGCCTATGATTCCGGCATTGCTGAACAGTATATCCAGACTTCCATATTTCTCCAAAGTGTAACTCACTGTTTCTTCAACCTGCTCTTCATCTCTTACATCACAGTGACGGTAACTAACTTTCTCTGAGCCTATTGATGCAACAACTTGATGTCCCAACTCATCTTGAACATCAGCAACAACAACAAAAGCCCCATTCTCAGCAAATAATCTTACTGCCTCCTCACCAATCCCACTAGCTGCACCAGTAACAAGTGCCACCTTACCAACCAACCTAATAATTTAAAAGGGGAAAAGCAGGAACTAAAAATGTAAGAAAATAAAGAAAATTTTAAGATCGAAATCAAGTTGATGCATAGAATAGAAAGATTTAAGAATGTAGAGGAAAGAAAAGTTCACCTTGGCTTAGACATTTATGAGGTCTTTTGTCTCTTGATGGTTTTGCTCAAACTTGCAAATAGAGGGCTCTTGGATCTGCTGTATATATATTTACAATTTACCTTATAGTTTCATACATTAGGTTCACTAGGCTGCAGAGCTCAAGATATTGACATGTGCAACAAACTGTATCAGGTTATTAACAATGCATTGTTTAATTCCCATCTCTGTTCACTAATGACTTTTTTTAAAAAAAAAATAACTTATAAATCCTTCATCAGCCACTATACTCTTTTGAAGTCAACTCTTCTTACAAATGGAAACCCAAAAAAATAAAAATAAAAAATGATTCTCTCTGCACAAGTGGACTAACTGGTTCACTGTATCATCTATGTTTCTACTGAATTCAACATGCCATTTCAATATGATCACATGATTATCGCATAAGCATTGCCTATTCCGTTCGAACAAGACATTGAATATTGGACCCTTAGCTCATTAGCGTATATATACTAAAGCAATTTGGCTCATCTTCAATTTCAAACCCTTGGCAGAGGTCCAAGCATTAACATTGCAAGTTTATTAGTGTCTAAAAGACTATGCATGCACCACCGAATCTGAAGTGGTCTACAAAAAGGTCCAGTTGTGACCAGTAGGCTTTTTGGGTGTCAAACCAAACTCAATTTGTTATATACTAAAATATCTCACAACTGAAAACCATCAAATACAAGGGGACAAAAAAAAAAAAAAAAAAAAAAAAAACTCCAGTTTTCCATAGACCCCTATCTGTTAGGCGCTAAATGTTATACATTTTAGCCCCTTAACTTCCATGTTTTATTCTCTTATTAGTAGTTTTATTTGTGATTTTACATTATTTTATTGTTTTGATTTATTTCAGAATTTAAAGACCAGTGAAATCAGGCTTTAAAAGATGATATCCAAGAGGTCAGAAGACCACATCCATTGGACCAAGCAATGATGAAGATCAAGTCTAATTATACTTAGAAAAGAGTTCAAGAGAAGCCACAAGTTCATGAGAATGGAAAGAAAAAGAAAAAGAAGAATCCTTTTCCAACTAGGAAACTTTCTCCAAAATTGGTAACTTGAACCCCTTTTTTTTTTTTTTTTAATCTGTCTGTATCTCTTTCCTCGAGTGTCAAAATAGCTCAATTCTTAAATCGATTGAAATGAAATTCGAAGAGCTACAATTTTGTATTTCACGAAGATTTTAGAAAACAGCTGTTTACCTTGTCAAAACTTGGCTGGAAGTCTATACGAATTTTGGAGTTCTTGTTTGGCAGAATTTTCATATATGTCTTCTATATGAAAAAGGGAACTTTGGGGCTAATCTTCTCTTATTTAAATGGAGTTCTCTACATCAGTAGGAGCATCATACAGAGGAGCTAGAGGTTGAGACCAGAGGAGAAGCATTCAGAAGAAAGAATGGATCGATTTATGGCGGCGAAGATGTCTTCCTCAACCATAAAGAAGTCCATTCCAGTCATGCTTGGCTAAAAGCTTTGCTAGGGTGTTGAACCAAGATGGGGGGTGAATTGGTTAAAACTTTTTTAGATTAAACTTTCTTTAAACAGTTAAACAAGCATTCAAAGATCAATCAAAACAAGATTTACAAGGAAACCCTCTTAACTAGGGAAAACCTTGGTTCTTGGCCATTGCCAATATGAAATCCACTACTAGTTGTATGTATCTAATTACACACTCAGCTGTCTCACTCTATGCACACACCCAAGCACAAGAATGGATACTAGTTTTCATAACCAATACACACACTAGTACACCACAATGCATACAAGCACTCCCCCTGTCCTAAGCAACCATGCCTGGACCTATTAAGCTCTCATAGCTCACAACACACACCATTACAGATGTAAATTAGTATAAGGAAGCCTTTCCTATAATTAAAATAGGCTAGACAACACAGAATTCCAAGTTACTGCCTCAAAACTACAATCTGCTGCACTTACAGTTTGAGGGGTAAAATGGGAAATTCATCTCAAGATCAATTCAGTAGCACCTCACACAGTCTTCTTTCACTGTAGTACTCATGTTCATAGCTTTGTATAATCAACATAGCATGAGCAAATAACATAGATCAATCATAGTCCTTATATCAGCCTAATACAACTTTAGGCTTAAGGATTAAATGCTCAAAGTCAAAGCATACCATTTTTCTGTCACAAGGCTAACTTTAACAATCTTAATTCACCAAAATATACTTGCTAGCAGTTTAATAACTCAAGGAATATCATAGTATAACCAATCAATACTTGAATCCAAGATTAAAACAGAAAAACAAGCTTAACTAGTGATCTCAAAGCCCAAATTCATTTTCAGCATGTTTTCAACACAAACACAATACTGAGCAAGTGTAAATAGCGTGGTTATACCTGACACAACCCTTAAAATAGACCACGGCAGCTTGGAACTCAAAATCACTACTCAATCTAGCCTTTGCATCAGTAATTCTGACAGCAGCATTATCTCAACACGTTGTACATACACCTGAGTTGATTCAATGGATTTTTCTTGCATGGATCATCATCAAATAGCAAAGAAAAACTTGTTCATTAAAGGCTCTCGAGAGAATACTTGCTACAACTCACTTTTCTCAATTCTTATTAAGCTTAAAACCCTAAAGTACTTTATCACAGCATGTATATACTAGTGTAAACACACAGAAGCCCTTGTATAGCTACTACACTACACTTGTCACCTTTTACCAATCATTGGGAGATCATAATTCAGATTTTTCTAAGGCAATGAACTAATGAAGGCCTGCCACCACAACTGTTTTTTCACTATTCTCACAGCTTTAACAGGTTGCTGGTTATATGCTGCAATGTCAATTTTATCCAGACTTAGCCTCTAAGAAATGTAATATTCTTGCATATACAACCACTTTATGACCACTGATATGTGACACATTCTTAAGCGCAGCTAGAAAAGACCAATATGCCCTTTAAACATATTTTAACCTTTGCAGCTAATTAATAGTGCCGAAGCAATATAATTTATAATGTAGGCTCAACCAAAGCTATTCAGTACAACGCAGCTATCAAGGCACATGTATAATCATGAAATATAACTTAAAAAAGACCATAATACCCTTGTGAGCACCAATAGCTAAATTTAAAGAGCCAAACCTCCACTGTCACGTTGATTTCAGCAAGAACAGATAAACACACTGCAATTTACTATCTCAAACCATTGTATAAACCATATTACAAAGTAGTAAATGACAATACAAACCATGGACCTTATTTCAAAACACAATGCAGATAGAATTCATACTTAAAACCACTGAAACTATGATTTTTGACATTAAGAAGACAAACATTCCTTAAGGTAGCTTAGGACCAACAATCTCCCTCTTTTGGCTTTAATGACAAAAACTAGTTGAACTTGAAAAAGATCTTGAGAATGAGAACTTTAAAGATGTAGTAAATAAAATAGCCCAAATGTAAAAAGGAATAGCTTGAAACTATCCTTATTTTAGCCCATTTCTCCCCTTTTTTGACATTGAAGGTCAAAAGGTGAGTAGGACTAACAATGTAAGTTCAGGAGGGAGAAGGAACTACCCGAAGAAGATCGAGGTTGAAAATCTTTGAGGAAGAAGAGGTTTGGTCATGATATCAGCAAGTTGATCCTCAGTGGGCAAGTAAGTGATGTTAATAAGGCCTTTCTGAACTTTATCTCTGAGAAAGTGATACCTGATGTCAATGTGTTTGCTTTTCCAGTGCAGTGTGGGATTTTTGTTGATAGTAATAGCACTTTGGTTGTCACAAAACAGCTTGGGAGGGCCTGAAAATTGAAGTCCAAGGTCTGAGAGTGTAGTTTGCATCCAAAGTAATTATAAGGCAGCTATATACTCAGCTTCAGAGTTTAAAAGAGAGACAGTGTCTTGCTTTTTACTTAGCCAAGAGACCACAATGGAGCCAAGAACATAACAGCAGCCAGAGGTACTTTTTCTGTCTGGGAAGGATCCACCCTAATCAGTATCTGAGAAGGCTGCAATAAACATTGAGCGTAAGAAAATGTAGTAAAGACCATATGAAATGGTGCCCTTGACATATCTGAGAATTCTTTTTGCAGCTTGGAGATAAGAAGCCCTGGGATTACTTTGGAATCTGTCCACTATACCCACTGAGTACATTATGTCAGGCCTTGAAGTTGTAAGATACAACAGACTACTAATGATAGACCTGTAAAGAGTTAAAGGGACTGGTTCAGTGGTACATTCCAGTGAAAGTTTGGTATTAGGATATAGTGGCGTAGAAACAGCCTTGCAGTCATCCATTTTAAACTTTTTAAATAGCTCAGAGGCATACTTTTGTTGAGAAATGAAGATTCCATTGGATGTTTGAGTAATTTGAAGGCCTACTCTAAGAGTCCCCAAGAGTGACATTTTGAACCTTGTCTTAATAAGATTAGCAAATTCTGAAGCTAATGAGGTGTTTGAGCCACAAAATATGATATCATCAACATAGATTTGCAGAATTAAAAACTATGCTTAATGAGTTTTTACATAGAGAGTATTATGAACCTTGCCTCTGTGAAATCTTTGTTCAACTAAGAACTGATGCATCTTTTCATACCAGGCTCTGGGGCTTGCTTAAGACCATACAAAGCCTTACTGAGTTTGTAAACATGAGAGGGAAATTCTGAATCTTCAAAGCCTTCAGGTTGCTCTAGGTATACTTCTTCATTTAAGTCTCCATTAAGAAAGGCAGACTTGACATCCATTTGGTACACCTTGACTTGTTTGTGATAGGCAAAAGACATAAGCATTCTAATAGATTCCATTCTTGCAACTGGAGCAAAAGTTTTATTACAATCAATACAAGCTTGTTGAGAGTAACCTTTACACACCAGTCTTACCTTATTCCTAATAACTGATCCATTCTCATCCATTTTATTCCTAAAAATCCACTTTGAGCCAATTACATTCTTGTCTTCAGGTCTAGGAACAAATGTCTAGGTATCATTTTTATTAATTTGATCAAGTTCTTTATGCATAGCAGCTATCCAATCTTTATTTTTCTGAGCTTCAAAATAGGACTTTGGTTCAATGGATGACAGTATAGCAATATGACTGTATTCTTCACCATCTTTAGCTTCTAAATCATTAAGTTTCTTTTTGTTCCTTGTTTGAACTCCAGCTTGAGGTTAACCAATAATGTTCTCAGCTTGAACTTGCTTCTGCAGCACTGGATAAGTGGTTTCCCTTGGGTTTTAAGGATTAGCAACGGAGGAGCTGGTTTCATTTGAACCAAGAGTGTTGTCATAGTCTTCAAGAGGCGTGGACTTAGGATTCTCATCAAATTTAACTTGAATTGACTCAACCACCTTTGAGGACCTTAGATTGTAGCACTTGTAGGCTTTGCTTTTTGTACAATACCCTAAGAATATACCTTCATCTGCTTTTGAATCAAACTTACCCAAGACATCGATGTGGTTTAATATATAACATTTGCTATCAAATATTTTGAAGCAGTGAAAAACTGCAGGTCTTCTATACCATAATTCATAAGGAGTTTTAGTTGAATTAGGTCTGAGAAGAACCCTACTTATGATGTGCATAGCAGTACTCACAGCTTTAGCCCAAAAACCCTTTGCCAGACCTTTTTCTAACAACATTGTCCTTCCCATTTCTTGAACTATCCTGTTCTTTCTCTCCACACCCCCATTTTGTTGAGGAGTAGCCACAGATGAGAATTCTTTCTTAATCCCCTTATCATCACAATAGTGCTCAAATTCTTTCATGATGAATTCAGAACCAAAGTCAGACCTAAGTCTCTTCACAGTGCTACCTCTTTCATTTTCCAAAAGATTAACAAACTTAATGAAGTGTGTGATAGTTTCTGATTTCTCTTTTAGGAAGTAAACCCACATCATTCTTCTACTAAAATCATCAAGGAGAAGCATGAAGTACTTATTTCCACCAATTCTAGTAGTTCTGGTAGGACCACAAAGATCCATTTGTATCAAGTCAAGTGCTCTTGAGGTGTTGATTTCTTTTGAAGGAAATGAAACTTTGGTTTATTTTCCTTGTTGATAGGCTTTGCAAAGATGATCATATTTAAAGTTGAGTTCTAGTAGTCCTTTGACAGCTTTTACTTTCAAAATCTTGGACAAAGTTCTTAAATGAAGATGCCCTAGTCTCTTGTGCCATAGATTAGCTTTATCAGAGGTTGTCAAGTTGTATTGAGTATTTTAGAATTCTTCAGTGACAATATAAACATTTCCAGAAGATCTACATGTTGAGAAGAGAACCTATTTTGATTTAAGATCAACCACATTGCACTTTTCTTTATCAAAACAGACAGTCCTCCCATTGTCACATAACTGACTTATACTGAGAAGATTGTGTTTGAGTCCTTCAACAAGTAGAACTCCTTGAATCTCTGGTAATTCTTTAGACTTGCTCATAATGCTAATACCTACAATCTTAGCCTTCTGATTGTCTCCAAAGATCACATCTCCACCATCAAATTATTTCAGAGTGATAAATTTAGAACCATCACCTATCATGTGTCTTGAGCATCCACTATCAATATACCATCTGTCCACTTTATTACAGGCCTTGAAAGTTGTATACACAAGTAGATTCACTGAGTTTAACTTCTCAATAATCCATGCCATTCTAGATTTCACAATAGAATATTTGTTTTTGACCTTATGAGCTTGAGCTATGTCAGACTTCTTCATGTACATTTTAGTCACTTTGAAATTCCTTATAGATGTCGTAACAAAGTCACTTTTGTTTAGTCTTGAGGAGTTAAAACTGCTATTAGGCAAGTCAAACTTTGATCTCAAAGGTTTTATAATGGAATATCTTGAGTACACTTCACCAGTTGTAGCTTTAACAAACACAGAGTGTGTCTGGTTGAACTCAGTAGCTGTATCACACATAGGCAATTCCAGTCTTCCCAATTTGCTTAGTGGATTATTTCTAGATCTCAGCCATCTTTAAGGATCTCTCTTCAAGAATGTGAGACAGTTTTTCTTTACACTTATTGGTAGACCACTGAGTGCTGATTGGAGGCTTCAATAGACTTTGAAAGGTAAGAGAGATTGAACACAGCTTTGACAGTTTAAGTATGAAGTGTTTTGTGTGAACTTGTTTAGACTTCAATAATTCTGAATTGAGCCTTTTTATTTGAGACTTCTTGATGAGTGCTGAAAAATGCTCATTTAAATCCGTTAAGCTTAGGTATTCTAGGACCTTTATCTATCTTATTTTCCCACCTTAGACTAATTTCATGATAATTGCATTTTCAGGCACGTATCCCCAAAATAAGCTAATTCAGCCAAATAAGAGCATTAAAGAAGCAATCTTGAGTTAGATGGAAGAAAAGAGCAAACTGGAAGCAAAATGAAGCAAAGTGGTGGAAAAGCAACAAGTTCTATAACGATCACAGAATTTCTTCGATCATTCTGACATTGATTGATCTAGGCACTTCAAGATGGATCCAAGCCTTTTGTCCTTATCCTAAAGATCCCACAATGTTCGATCGATCCAATAATTCTCAGATCGATCTAAAATATTCGATCTTATCCTATTGTACGACCCCACCTACCACTTTTGTCTCTTTTCCAAAATATCCCAAAAATATCTCAGATTTGTCTTTATCCAAAATAGCGCTGCCATGGAAAGATCGATCCATCCAAAGTTTGATGGATCTCAGCCAAGTTCGATCAATCCAACCTTGAGTGAGATCGATCGAACCCTCTCAAGTGCGACTTAAAGTAATTTCCAGCTCATTAAAAGTTATCTCATGGTGCAATCATTGGTGGAGCCCTAGTGTACAAGTCCAAACCATTGGGGGTGACACTTGAGCTACCTATATAAGGATTATGAGCCACTTTTACAAAAAAAAAAAATAGAGATCATATAATTCATTCTATATTCTTAGGGAGCAAGAAAAGAAGAGGAGGCTTGAGACATTCTTGGGAGTTCTTCCATCTACCTCAACGAGAAGAGCATTTCTACCATGGAGATAGTAGCAGGAGCAACTTTTAATTTATTATGAGCCCAAACGATGGATTCAATAAGTTCTTGCCACCCTTGAGGGTTGGAGGACTACATCAATAAGTGGCTAAACATCTCCTTGGGGCTAGAGTTAGGCCTAAGCATGCCTTCTATATCTTGATTTATATATATTTTTAGGGGATTTGTGTTGTAATACAAGTTTTGACATCTATATATACATGGATCTTGTTTATTCAATTATTTGTATGGTTTAATTCTTCCAATTGATCATTTCATTCTATCCACATGTCTATATATGCTAGAATAGATGTTCATGTGTTTATCTCTAGTTTTTGTGTTGTTGATGGATGTCTATGTGTGTTGATGCTATAGATCTAGAGATTGTCAAGACATAGTGCTTTATAGAATGCTCTTGTGGTTTATTTGATGGTTCATACTCATATCTTGATGGATTATGCCTCTCTCTTAGTATAATTAGTTTAATTTCCATGTTATTAGATTAGTTGTAGTGTAGTTACCTTAGTTGTTGAATGGGAGGACAATCCATGCTTATTGTTTGATGTTCCATGCTTATGGATGCAAGTAGCACATGTCTCTAACCTTGTGATGTGTTTGGATTGTGAGCTTAAAGGAAGGATTAATGGCTTAGTTTGATATATTGTGCTATTCATTAGGTTGTCTAGACAATATATACTTTATTGGTCATCCATGCTTGTTGAAACAACTATACACACTCACTTTTGTTGCAATACATCTTTTCCCCTCATTAATTATGAATTAAGTGTATTGAAAGGTGATGTTTAGAGGTGACCTCTAAGTCCCAAGATCTCTCTCTCTTGTTTTCTCTATATTGCATTTATTTTGTTTGCTTTAATTTAAATTGCACTTTAGTTTAATCAGACCACCAATCAATCTTTGATTTCTCGACCTACTAACCCTAAAGCGTTTCCAAAACCAATACGACCCACCAATCCCTTAGGATGATCCCTACTCACTCTTGCTACGTTAGTAGTAGTGTTGGTAGTGGTTTTTATAAATTTTAAACTTGACCCAAAAAGGCTTTTCTTGAACCACACATTCACTATATTATTTTGGCGTATTCAAGCCTCACTCGTCAAAGTTTTGGCGCCGTTGCCGGGGATTGATTGAAGGCAACATCGTACTTTGGAAACACTTAGGAATTAGTACTATTTTGATCGTGTCTTTACTTTATTTTCAATTTGATTACTTATTATGTTGGTTCTTGATTAACTAGGTACATTTGGCTAAGAAAAGTTAACAAGGGAGCATTTTAAGCAAGGAGCTAACGCTTAGCAAAAGAAAGGAAAAAGCTAAAATTCAAAAAAATTTGCAAAGCTAAAGTTAAAAAATAATTTGAAGTGCTTAAGGACCCTTTGTGAGCTCTAACTCAAACTTTAGTTAAATCATCGGCCCTCGTGGAGGCTTGTTTTTTTCATTTTCTAGATAAATCGTGAGCCCGCGTGGAGGCATTTTACTTTTCTTACATAATTGTTGAAAGCATGGGAGTATGGGATCATTGTATGTGGAGGAAGTTGGTTGATTGATTTGTTGTGAAGGTGAAGTGATTGCTCATTGTTTGTTGCTTGTTTGTGTTTTATTTGTGCATGTATGGTTGGATATCATTGAATCCTACTCTTGTCCCTCTTGATTTTCATCTTGAATCCATTGTTCATAATCCTAGGGGAAGAGGTAGTTCTAATCACTCCATTTCATCAATAGAAGACCATCATGAAGACCATGTGAAGGACCTTGGTCACATAAAACAACAAGGTATCCTCCACCCAAATATGCATCATGAAAACATCCAAGTTCCATTAGGTATGCCTAGACCATTCAACAAGGCCAAGTTCCATTGGGAATGCCTAGGTCAATGCTTGCTCCACAACCTCCCATAATCCAAGGCAATCAAGGTGCTTATGTTGCACCACCAATTGTGAATCCACCTCTTGCTTTAAGAGATCATTATGTGCTAAATGAATATAATGCACCCACTTGCATTCAATTGCCACCATTTAGAGCACATCACTATGAGATTAAACCACAAACCATTCAAATGCTTCCTAATTATCATGGACTTCCAAGTGAAGAACCTTATAAGCATTTGGATGAGTTTCTTGAAGTATGTTCCACTGTGAGATACATAGACATGCCGGAAGAGGTTTTAAGACTTTTTCCATTCGCCCTTAAGGACAAGGCAAAATATTGGTTCAACAATCTTAGGTCTTTTTTGATAACTTCTTGGGTGGAAATGCAATAAGAGTTTTTGAAGAATTACTATCCGGTCTTTAAGACCAATGCCATAAGAACCTCAATTAGAGAGTTTTCACAAGGGGATGGGGAAACATTTCACGAGGCATGGGAAAGATTCAATGAATTGCTTAGGAAGTGTCCACATGATGACATGCGTAAGTGGCAATTGGTTCAATACTTTTTTGAAAGTTTGTCGGATAATCACAAGGGTATGATTGATGCATCCATGGGTGGTTCTATTCTTGATAAAAATGAAAATGATGGTTGGCGTCTCTATGAAAGCATGAGTGAAAATTCAATGCATAGATCATTATCTTCTAAGAATGGTAGAAATTCTGGTGGAAGGAAGAATGCTGGCTTATATCAAGTCAACAATTCCAATGAAATAGCCGCCAAGATGAAATCCTTATTCATGACCTGTTCTAGTGTTTTGCATTCTAATTCCAATTGTCCCCATGGACACGTGCAAAATGAGCATCGTGAATAAGTCAATGCAGCATTTGTTAATCATGGGAACAATCCTTATGGCAATCATTACAATCCTAGTTGGAAAAATCACCCGAAATTCTCTTGGAAAAGCCAAGGGGAAGGCTCAAACCCTCCCCAAGGTGGTTTTCAAGGTAAGTATATTCCACCTCCAATGCAAGGACAATGTTCCCAAGGATTTAGATCATCATATCAATCACATGGAAACCAATTCTCTAATTCTCATTTTCCAAATTAAGCGTATTCTCAAGGAAATTCTAGGGGTCCCGCTTTTGTGGAGAAAGTTTTAACTGCTTTAGGCACTCTAGAGGCGAACACTCAATTGCTTCATTCTTATTCTCAATCCATTGCTAAGCTAAAAACCCAAGTAGGGCAAATAGAAAGCACTCTAAATGCTAGAGAGAAAGGGAAAATGCCTTTGAATGCCCCACCAAAGCAACAATGCGTTGTGGAGACTCATTCCTCATCGGAAGGTCACACAATCGAACATGTCAATGCGGTGACAACCTTCAGAAGTGGGAAGATTGTGGACAACCAAGTGGGTATGTCCAATAAAGAGAGTGAACCGGTGTACCCAAAAGTTGACACCCGTCCCATGTCACATTCTATTCTTCCTTCATTGCATATGCATGATCATTCAAGTGAGAAAGTGATGGAAAATGGTTTCAAAAGTGATTTGAAAAATGATATGCAAAATTTTTATGTTGAAAATGTTTTAAAGAAAGCTTCTGAAAAGGTTTTTGAGACAAAAGCTCCATTTCCGGATGCCTTAAAAGGATCCATTTCCATTGACAAACAAAAGGCCAAAACAAATGAAATCATAGATGTGTTTAGGCAAGTGAAGATCAATCTTCCACTTTTGGATGCAATTACGCAAATTCTGGCTTATGCC